AATTGCATTTTAAAAGAAAAACCCAAGATAACTTTTTGGCCTTTGGCAGCCCATGAAGGAAGCCTTGCAGCTGTGCCTTCATCGTCACTCTGGGAAGGCTAGATGTCAGCAGGCAGATGGAGTCAATGGCACATTAACAACTGATAATGATAGTTAACTCACTTGGTTAACTTTCTGAGGGTATGCTTCACCCCTGAGCATTTCAACTCCCAGCTCCCAGGCTCATCTCAAGCCACCTTTGACTCTCGGCTCTTATTCACTGTTAATACAGAAACCTGGAGCACATTAAGTGGAGAGGACGGTTTACAATAAAAGCTCATGAATTGATTCCGTGACCCAGCAGAGGCTATTAAAAATGATTGAATGAATATGGAAATGAGTAATCGTACAGCTGGACTCGGGGCTGAACATGGCCAACTCCATTCAATGCAAACCACAAATAGACCAAGGCGCACGCAAAGCTGCCAGAGTCTCTAGGTCGTGGTGTGAGCTGCAGGAAATTGCCCCAGGGTTTCCATCACATTTACCTGTCCTTCTCAGCACCTGTGTGTTTAGACTCATCCTTTCTCTCCAAAGACTGCATGAGCGGGAGTCTCTTATCCCATGCAAGCGCTTGGCCAGATTCCATGCTGGGGGAAATGGGGGGCCATCAGAGCCCCCATCCCTGGCTCCCGACTCCTTGCTGTTCACACACGCTTGGCTAGTCCAGCCCACATTCACAAGGATCAGAAAATAACCCCGGACTGCCTCGGTTTCCAGACACCAGCTCCGAATCCCAGGAAGCCAGATGGTCAGAGACCAGCTGGGCAGAGACCGGAGGAAGCAGGTGATAGAAACCTAACAAGTTTTCCATAAGTGCAGGCTAGCTGAGGAGACCGGAGGAAGCAGGTGATAGAAACCTTCTAACAGGTTTTCCATAAGTGCAAGCTAGCTGAGACTGACAGATATCTGCAATTAAAGGCAAACCTGGGCCAATGAGCAGCAGAAAGAGTTAAAATTGAACTGGTCCCCCGCTGCATGTATGGGTACAGACTTACAGACGGGGCTTTATGCTGTCCTTACAGCCTCGCTTTCTCTGCGGCCAGCCGAGAGGGAGGAAGGCAGTTGTCCTAGGAAACATGCCAGAGAGAGGTATGATATAGTATATTTATTTAAAAAATGCACACCAGAATCCCACTTGCATTAAGTATAGAGACTACAGGTTCATCCTTATTTCCCTAGAGCCCTGGAGTCGTGTCCTCTCTCCAGGCCAGAGTGCCAGCACACCTGATATTAAGGGGGTGGAAGGAGTGGGCTGAAGACCTTAGTGGTCTAAAAGAAGGGGCAGGAAGGACAAGCCATGAGTATGTCACGCGTTGAGTGGGCTTCCATCTCCAACAGGAGCCCAGAGGGCAGAAGTTACAGTGCTGCCATGGCTGCCTTGTTAATATGAGGCTGCTCGGTGCAGTTTTGCCATGCTGCCCTGCTTCGGCAGCCTCCTGGACCACTCCTGTCCCTAGGTCTCTCTGCTACCATCGGTCATCACCGAGAGCAGCGGCACTCTCCATGCAGGTCATGGGGAGGACTGATGAGTTCTGTCTCCTGGAGCAATAGCTGGTTCTTCCCGTGGTCTTCATTTCAGATGCTGCAAAGGGCACTGGACCAGTATTTGCCCTTGAGGGGGAACGTTCAGTGGTGTTGGGTGAGCCCACAGCAGAAACCTGTCCCCAGAGGAGCTGCCCATGACCCCTTCACCCGAAGCAGTTTCTTCCCCTGCAGCCTTCACCCAATGGACAACTCTCCCCCCCTTCCCATCCATCACTCCTGGCTTTCAGGCCACTGTCAGAAACCTCCTGCAAAGAGACAATGGCAGCCCAGGGTCCCCATTCACCCCTGGAGAAAAGGGCCTGTGCATGCGGAGTGATAAATGGTTTGTCCCCAGCTGGAGACAGAGGGCTGGATACTCCTGATCAGCTGCAGGAGGGCAGCCCTTTGTCTTGCTCTGGAGAGATGGAGCAGAGGTCGGCCTCCGGTCTTAGGCTTCCTGGCAGCTCTCAGTTTGAGATCTTCCATGGTAATGCAAGAGTCCGGGCTTCCCACATAGCCTCCTTCGTGCCGTAGCTCAGAGCATCCCTTGCGGTTGGCGTTCGGTCTCCAGCTGTGCCCCGGAGGATACCAGCGCAAGAGTCCTCCCGCCTGCCGTGACACCTCTGGCGTTACTTACAGACATATCTCTCCACCTTCCGCCGACACTTCTTGCACACCACGTAGCAGCACCAGTGATACTTGCAGTGACACCTCTCCACCACCTCCTCCGTGTAGGTGTTGTACCCGCGGCCACAGCACATCAGGTTGCAACTGTCGCTGCCCACGGAGGTCTTGTTGCACTGCCTGTCGAGAGGAGGATGCACAAGCAGGAGCTGAGGGAGCATCCCTGCCCACCCACGGCGGTGATGCTGACCACAGCTATCCGCCCGGGCCTCCTCCCAGAGCTTACTTGCCCCTAGCAGGAGGCAGCGAGATGCACGGGTCTGTTTGCAAACCAGGGTTGATGTCAGCTCGCGTTACTACGGCGGTGTTTGAGCAGCTGTGGCTGAGGTTGGGCACACTCACTCTGTATCATGCTGGGGACAGGATCTTCCCATGGAGAAGGAAGGGTGGATGGCTGGGACCAGGAACTTCTGCTACTGCTAAATCTAACAGGGATTGCAAGTCACAGCCCTGAGGCAGCCCTGGCTCAGCCTTCAGCTGAGGCTTCCCCATCCCTCTAAAAACTCCCCCTCGCCCTGCAATCGCTCTGCAAAGGAGGCATCTGGGAAGCACCGCAGACTCCCAGGACCGCTGAGCCGTTCTGGTTACCGGCAGGCAGCACCCAAAGGCTTGCAGGGAGAGATGATATTTCCCTCTCTGACTCCTCACTGGATGGATCCTGTGCTGGAGAGTGGAGCTGACAGACTCTCAGTGAGGGCTCTCCCTTGCCTTTACCCCTGCATAACTCTGCAAGAACGACATCTGCCTTCCTGCTCTCCTTGGGACTTTAAGATGCAAAGATTTCGCAGCAGTCCCTGTGGTGTCCCCATCTAGCAGGGGACTGCCCATCCACAGCAACTTCCCGGAGCATGCTCTCAAACCCAATGGTAGAGACACCCATGAAATTAGAGGCTGAGTTAGAGAGTATTTGCAGCAGTTTCTTACCTATAGACACCCATGAAATTAGAGGCTGAGTTACAGCGTATTTGCAGCAGTTTCTTACCTGTCCTGTGTCCCCAGAGATCCCAGGTGGGGATTTGGCATGCAGTAGTCGGGGGAGTTGATGAGATAAACCAGATCCTCCTCTTTCACTGGCCTGACATCCATTTCTTTGGGTATCAGCTGCTTCCTGGGCCCTATGAGCCGGTGGGTCACCTTGATGGCTGCCAGGTACTTGGACTTGAGGTCAAAGGCAATTTCATCCAGGCTCGGCAGTCCCTTCCAACAAGTCTTCACCGAACAGGAGCCTGAAACACCATGGCATTTACACTTGGTATCCAGGGAGTCACTCAGCACCTGCAGAAGACAGGAAAACATGGAATTTGCTTCTGCTTTCTCCTGGTACCCACCCTAGGGATTTATTTGCAAGAGCATCCATCGGAAGGTTCAAGAGATGAAAGAGCTCAGCTGCTTACCGCCAGATTTAAATGAATATAATGGGGCAATCAAGGACTCAGCCCTGCTTCATTCCCCATGTGATAAGAACCTAACCCTTGGGGAGTTCCCTGCCGGAGCTGGCAGTGGGGCTGGGGGCTTCCCTGGCCAGCATGAGTGCAGGATGGCCATGTCCTCGCCTGGGGAACACGCATGCGTGAAAGCATAAAACCCCGCAGTTTTTGTGCAGGGCTGGGGAGCCTAGCTGGGGCTGAGCAGGATGGGCCTCTGTTTCCCAAGAGAGAGGTGGAAAGAAGTACTGGAAGTACTGGTGTGAAGTGGCAAATATCTTGCGCTAGTTGTGGAAAGGGTGCAGGGATGTTTCGGGGGTAGGTAGCAGTGGAGGATGTCCCTGCAAACACATGTAACTCCATTTTAAACATGTAGTTGCCTCCTGACTTTAAGGAGAGCATCCCAACAGCCTGGCCGGAGCCTACCACCTTACATTAGGGACCTCTGCCCCCCCAGGCTGCTGTAAGGTGTGCTGGGTGGTGGGCACCATACCCACCTGCCGCCCCACCGCGTTGTTATGCAGATTCACGGCCTTGAGCGCTTGTGTCCCCAGCTTGCTGGATTTTAAAGGACTGTCAGCAAAAGCGGTGCCAAGCTGGAGGCCGTAGCGCAGGTTGTCCCCGCAGCCACCCCATCTGAAGTCTGGCCCGGGGACCTCCGAGGGGACGGAGCCACAGGAGCAGAGAGGGAGCTCTCCCGAGGTGCAGGCTTGGGCGATGGAGTGTGTGACGGCAGCGGCAGCCAGGGCATAGACGAAGGCGGATTCCCGGGTTCCTGAGAAGAAGAGGGGGAGATGTCCTTCCTCCCTGCCCAGCCAAACACTCCTCTGAAAGATCTCACAATGCAAATGTTTTGTTTTGTTTTGTTTTTTTCCTTGCAACAGGATAAAACCAAGGCCCAGCGTTTTTCTTCCACTGTCTTTTTAACCTGTACCACCCACTATATCATGCTGTCAGCATACAGCCTGTCCCCCCACCTCTTCCCCCTTTTTTTTGGAGCCTCTAGCAACTGGTTTTGTTTGAAATGGAAGTTACTGTCTGTCCTCTCCCGCAGGTCTAAGTTGCACAGGATTAACACCGGTGTAATGGCGGCAAGTTTTCTCCAAAATATATATCTAAGGCTAAACTGAACATCGGCACTGCACATTAAAGCGCTGCCTGAAGTGCCGCCTGCCTGGGGCACAAAGAGGAGCACGAACACAGCGGACGAAGCATCCTTTACCTTTCAGCAGGTCAGGGCCAAAGCTGGGGGCCCGTTGGATGGAGGAGCAGTTCCACCTCATGTCTGCGAAGGTCTTTTGGCAGACGCTCTTGGTCTGGCGGGCGGCCCGGACGATGCTGTGCATGACCTCCAGGTTCCTGCGGCACATCTGGAACTGGTCGGGCACCAGCCCGGCGAGTAGC